CAAAACCTCTTCCTCGGGTGCCACCAACTGTGGAAGGGTTTTCATGGCATATTTTTGTTATTTCCATCTTACGGTTCTTATTGCAAGTTAGACACCTTCTGCTTTGACTCACTGCAGGCTGAGAAGATGCTCATTGTCGGGTTACAATTGAGGGAGGGGTCAACTCAAAGAGGGGGATTCATCCTTTGGGTTGATGGTGACACCCGCCCCAACTCTTAACAGAATAGAAGAACAGAATAGAATAAAATTCTTTATTGGCCAAGTGTGATTGGACACACAAGGAATTTATCTTGGGTGCACATGCTCTCAGTGTACCTAAAGAAAAAAATAAAATACATTCATCAAGAATCATAAAGTACAACACTTAGTGACAGTCACAGGTTACTAATCAGCAATCAGATCATACATAGGTTACTAATACGCAATCAAAACATACCAGGAAAACAAATAAAACAATATAAAGTGTAAAGATACAAGCAACCCGGTTATAGTTGTAAGTGGGAAGAAATAGGTAATAGGAAGGACGAGAAGAAGAATAGTAATGCAGTCTTGCTAAGTCATTTGACAGTGTTGTGGGAGTGAGTTGACTCCGTGGTGGTTGAACCAAGTTCAAGTCCAGGAGAATGATTGGCCTTCTTCCAACAGGAGAGAAGCTCTGTTGCTCAGAGTTACTTCTTGTTGTTGGTATGATATTAATCCTGGGATTCATCTATGCTCACAAAGGAGAACAGCTGCAGCTCAGGGTCCTTGGTGCTGTCTGAGCTTGGTGGTTTTCTTGTGGACGTTTCATTACCCAACTAGGGAACATCATCAGTACTAGAAAGGAGTGGACATTGTGGAGAAAAACTGTGGCGTCCTTGGTGCTCTCTGAGCTTGGTTGTTTTCTTGCAGACGTTTCATGACCCAACTAGATCACATCATCAGCGTTAGAAGAGAGGGAAGTTGGAGGAGGAGGAGAACTATGGGGTAGCTTGGTTGTTTTCTTGCAGATGTTTTATTACCCAACTGGGTCACATCATCGGGGCTAGAAGAGAGGGAGGAGGAGGAAGAGGAGGAAAGGAAGGAAGAAGAGGAGGAGAGCTGTGGGGTCCTTGGTGCTCTCTGAGCTCCGTTTGTTTCCTTGCAGACATTTCATGACCCAACTGCGTGACATCATCAGTGCTAGTGAGTGTGGGGTCCTGTTGTGTAGAGTTGTAATTGCAGGAATGTTCCAATCTCGGATGGCAAACCTCAGATAAAGAATGTTTCCAAGCAAATACAACTCAGGCCAACAAAGTCACTAATCTAAAGGAGGATTAGAGAGAGGAAGTAAACATATGTTAGACTTTAACTAGAGATAATTAACTGTATTAATTGCTGTGCTAAACAGTAACGAAAGTTAAGCAGTAACCAAAGTTAACCAGTGATGGAGGGTAACTAAAAATGTGTATAAATGCAAGACTAGACTCCAATAAAGATCATCATGATTCAGTTGTTCATGATCAAACAACCCGACTGCCTCGTCATTACAACACTGTTGTCCTCACAAGCTGCTTAAAATCTTAGTGGGCAGAAAATTCTGGCCTCTCCTACACAACACCGTTGCTTGGTTGTGGCTTTTAGGAAACTGCAGACTTTTTCCGAGACTCTTGAACCAAGAGTCCTGGATGACTTTCTGAGTTTTCCTGGGGACCCTCTCTTGTGTCAACATTCAGTCTTAAGAGAGAGATGAACCGAGTTGAAAGGGACCTTGTAGGTCATTTAGTCCAACCCCCTGCCCAAGCAGGACGGTACAGGAACTGGGCATGGCTAGTCTAGTGAAGAGAAGGAGCAGGGGAGACAGGATAGCAGTCTTCCAGTATTTGAGGGGCTGCCACAGAAAGGAGGAAGGGGTCAAGCTATTCTCCAAAGCACCTGAAGGCCAGACAAGGAATAATGGATGGAAACTGATCAAGGAGAGATTCAACTTGGAAATAAGGAGGAATTTTCTGACAGTGAGAACGATCAACCCATGGAATAGAAGTTGCCTTTGGAAGTTGTGGAAGCTTCATCACTGAAGGCTTTCAAGAAGAGACTGGACTGCCATTTGTCAGAAGTGGTGAAGGGTCTCCCGCTTGGGCAGGAGTTGGACTAGAGGACCTACAAGGTCCCTACCAACTCTGATTATCTGTGATCTGTTATCAGGAGACCCTACTACACCATTTCTGACAGATGGTAGTCATTCTTGCGTTCAGGAGAAGAAAAGAAATGGAGGCTTGAGCTGGAATTTTGAAAGGACGCATCACGAGAAGGGGCCCCTCCATGCTTTCAATGCCTTAATCCTCCAAAGCCAAGTTTCAGAGAAAACATTTTGACATCTTTTGGGTGACAAGCTCATAATTTAATTGGAATATCCCGGTGAGTCCAGAACAATTAACAGAGAGAGGATGTTTTTCTAAAAAAAAAAAAAAAAAACAGAGCAAAAACTGACCTTCTTTGGATCTGAAAAACCTTCCCAGGGGATTAGCAGAATAACAGAGTTGGAAAGGACTTTGGAGGTCATCTAGTCTGATCCCTCAAGCAGGAAACCGTTTCAGACAAACGGTTATCCAGTCTCTTCTTAAAAAGAAAATAATAATTGATGATTAATTGTTCTACCAACCAATGTTAAAGTACCAAAGGGTTTAGTCCTCCAAAGTTGTCTTCTCCATTTTGTGGGACAGATTCATCCTCTCCCACTGAGTCTCAAATATGTGGGTGCACAGATGCTTACATAGTTGAGGAAATTCCACAAATTCCTGCAAGGAGAAGTAGAAGCATTTGCAGATATGTGTCTCCAGCTGTTCCAAACGGCTTAACCTTGAAGAAAGGATGGTGTAAAAACATTGGGTGGCCTTACAATATCTTGGTAACTCCTAGAATTGTCCAGACTCCTACAATAGGCAAAGCACCCATGAATCAGGTCATAAATTTGACCTCCCGGTGTAGAAGATACCTTGAAAACTCTCCAGAAGACAGACCGTAATGCCTTCTACAGCTTCATTTGCCCCATTATAAGTTTCTTGAAATTGAGGGAGAAGAAAAAGAAGGCAGTTTTAAGGCTGAGAAGAGGTACATTCTGGATACCTTCAAAATTCTTGCTTTTTCTCCAAGTGTTTTTGGCTTTATTCCCTTTTTAAAAAAATGCATTCCTCAAGAGCAAACAATATATACAAACTCAAGGTAAACCGCACCAAACTTGATTGCAGGAAATACGACTTCAGCAACAGAATGGTCGATGTCTGCAATATTCTACCTGACTCTGTGGTTTCTTCCCCAAACCCCAAAAACTTTAACCTTAGACTGTCTATTGACCTCACCCCTTTCCTAAGAGGTCTGTAGGGGGCGTGCATAAGCGCACCAACGTGCCTGTCCCTGTCCTAATGTTTCCTTTTATTTTTCTTATATGTATCAATGAATTCATAACTATGTTTTTACTTATACCTATTATCTTGTAAGCAATTGACAAAAAAAAATAAATAAATAAACAGCCTTGAGCATCTCCAATGCTAACTTATGGAGAGACAAATCTCGCAACTCATTTCAAAGGAAAAGAACAGTGCCCTCTAGTGGACAAGGTTCTACATATCATCAGGTTTGGTTGTTTTTAAAAAAATTGTTTTGAAAAAAAGGAAGGTGTGTGTTTGTGGCTCTTTATATATATGTATCTCTGTGTGTGTGTCTATGTATAACTTGTGCATTTATCTGTGCATATGTTTGTGTATATATGTGTGTGAGTGTGTGTGTATATAACTGTCCTACTGTCCCCATTTATTCGTATTCATTTATTATGTACAGTATGTACACATGCCAGTTTATTCTTATGTTTATATGTTATGTTCATACTTATATTGTTTTCTCATACATGCTTGACAAATAACATAAATAAATAAAAATAAATATAGGTGTGTATAAACTACGTTTCTGTGTATTTGTGTATATCCGTGTGCATACATATACATGTGTAAATATCTATTATCTACTTATCTATCTCTATCATCTCTCTATCCATCCTCCATCCATCCTTTCCCTTATCTCCATCATTCTATCACTCTATATCTATTCTATCTATCCATCCATCCACCCACCCATCTGTCTTAAACTTTCTGTCATTCACCTATCTGTCTGTCCGTCCATCCATATCTATTTGTCTATCAACTATGATCTATCTACGTATATCTCTGTCCCTCCCTCTGTCCCTCTCTGTGTCTATATGTATATGCATAAGTATAAATGTGTTTATGTGCATGTTAAACTGTATATTTGTGTATATCTCTGTGTGCCATATGCACATAGGCGTACTCATGCATATAAGTGTGTGTCCCCGTGTGTATGTGTATTTATACTGCACGTGTGTGTGTGTGCATGTATGCTTGTATATACAACTTCCAAAAAGGCTGCCGCTCCATCACTCCGTCCTGAAAGCAGCTTCCCCCACCTGGCGCCCCCAGTTGTGCTGTGGGAGGGGGACAACGGAGACCCCCAACCCCCTTTGCAACGCTCCCTGCGCGGCAGCCAAAAAGAACTCAGCCACCAGAGGGCGCGCCGTCGGGGAAAGACTAAGCTAAACCTTCCCGGAGGCGGAGAGGAAACGGAGGCGGGGCAAACTCAGAAGGCGGGGCGAGGGCGCGTCATCCCTCCTCGCTCCTCCTTTCTTCCTTCTCTCGCTCAACCCCCCCTCCCCCTCCTCCTTCCCGGAAGTTCCGTCGCCAAAACCCATCCGACGCTCGGGCGGAAAAAGCGCCCCGCTCCTTCCGTTCCGGTCTCCATTCGGGCCCCCCTTCCCCCCCGACGCTGGCTTTCCCCGATATCCAGGCAGGTCGTCGGTGCGGCCGCGGAGCGTCCCGAGGCGCCTCCGGGCGGGCTGTGGGCGGAGCAGAAGAAGGAGGAAGGGGAGGCCGTCCGGCGGGGAAGGGGGCGGCGTCGGCCCGCCTGCGCCCCGCCTGCGCCCCGCCTGCGCCCCGCCTGCGCCCCGCCTGCGCCCCGCCTGCGCCCCGCCTGCGCCCCGCCTGACTCCCGCGCCACGTCTCGGAGGAGGAAGGGCGGCTCGGGCCGAGCCGAGCCGGGCAGGTCAGTGGGGCGAAGGGCCGGGCCGGACTTGGGAGCGGGGAGGGGGCTGCGGGGCTGGGAGGGGGGGCTGTATGTGTCTCTGTGTGTCTGTGTGTATAAAAGTCACACCCTTGTGCAAACACACACACACACACTTCGAAATACGCCTCCCTGTCTGGGGAGACTGGAGGGGGGGGGCTGTCTCTGCCCATGGGGGTAGGTGGGGATGGCCTGCACACGTGTTTTGCAACACACACGCGTGTCTCTGGGTGTGTGAGAGAGAATCTGTCTGGGTCCTTCCCTTGTGGGGGTTGTGTGTGTGTTTGTGTGCTTTGTAGGTTGCGTTGTAGGACAAGGGCTTTAATTGGCTCTGTAGAGCTGGGTAGGGGTGAGGTGGAGAATAGGGTTTTGTGTGTGTCTGTGTGTGTGTGTGTTTCTATGAAGTTGGTTTATGGGGTATGTAGACCCTGGAAGGTTTAAAGGTTTGATGTGGTGTGTGTGTGTGTATGTGTGTGCTTGCCTGCCTGCCTGCCTGTCTGTGTATGCATCTACATTATGAAGTTGCTTGATGGGAGTGATGTAGAGGGTAACTTGTGGGTGTGGGTGTATTTGTGTGTATCCGTGTACAAAGTTGATTCATGGACTGTAAGGTTCGATGTGTGTGTGTGTACATTAGTATGAAGTTGATTTATGGACTATATAGAGCTGGGTAGGTGTGATGTAGGATATACATATGTGTGTGTGTGCCTGTGTGTATGTTGATAGGCCTGGGAGTGGGAAGGTTTGATCAGTGTGTGAGTGTTTGTGTCTCTGTTTGTGTGTGCATCAATGAAGTTGCTTTATGAGCCGTTTAGACTTGAATAGGAGGGATGTAAGGTGTGTGTGGGGGCGTGTATTTGTGTGTAACAATGTACAAAGTGGCTTCATGGACCAGGGTAAGTATAAGGTTTGATGTGTATGTGTGTACTTCATTATGAAGTTGATTTATGGATTATATAGAGTCAGGTTGGTGTAATGTAGGGTGTGTGTGTGTATAAAGTTGGTTTATGGATTATAATAAACTTGGGAAGATTTAAGGTTTGATGTGGGGGGGTGTGCATAGGTGTGTACATGTATGAAGTTGCTTGATGGACCATACTGTAAAGACCAGGTAAGTGTAAGGTTTGATGTGTGTACATCTATGAAATTCATTTATGGACTATATACCTGGATAGGTGTGATGTGTGGTCAAGGACTCTGAAGCTAGTGGTTTGTTTTAATGGATGGGTGGATTGAACACAACTAGTGAGGTCATCCATAGAGGTTAAAAGTCACTGTTGTGAAGCATTTGTCAGAGACTGGTGCTGTGAACAGAGGCTGGCAATCTGACCCCAAAAGGGGAGGTTGAGGTGTGCCAATGACTTTGACCCTACTCCTTTCCCAAGGAACATGGGCTTGGATACACCGTCCCTTCCCTTCTTCCGTCCCAGCAAGTGGTGTTAACTTAAAGCTTCCTGCCTCCAGAAGTTGTGAATGCCCCCATACTGCAGGTTCATAAGAAGAGATTGGACAATTATTTATCTGAAATGGATATAGGGTCTCCTGCTCGAGCAGAGGGTTGGACTAGAAGACCTCCAAGGTCCCTTCCAACTCTGTTTATTTTACGTTCTATGTTCTAAAGCCCGCCTGCCAAGAGAAGTCACCTCTTCCAAGATGGACATCAAGGCTTGAAATCTTCAGCATCTAAAACCGTTTTCAAAATGACATGAAGGAGGGGACTTGAATGTCTTGCTAACCCATTTCTAAGAGGTATTTTAGGTTGGCAAGTAAACATGGAACTTCTTGAGATCTTCAATAAGGTCCCACAAAGATCTTCTCCTCTTAAGTGCCCCATTTAAAGACAGCCATTGCTAGTTGCTTTCTGCATTTTGAGTAAGGAAAATCTATAATTTACCCTACCTACACTGCTCTAGGCAGTCTCCTTGCCTTGATTTTAGCTCTAGAATTAATTGTATGTGAGTTGATTCTGAGGTTCTTAGTCCTTCTTTGGCAGGATTCTTCTATACAAGTAGTCCTCGACTTAAGACCTCAACGGAGCCCAACATTTATGTCGCTAAGCGAGACATTTGTCAAGTGAGGTTTGCCCCATTTTACAACCTTTCTTGACATTTGTTAAGTGAACAACATTTGTTAAGTGAATCCCTGCAGGTGTTTAGTGGGTAACCCGATTGTTAAGTAGCTTCTCCACCAACTTGGCTTGTCAGAAGGTCGCACAAGGGGATTTTATTACCCTGGGATACTGCAACCATCATAAATATGACTCAGTTGCCAAGCATCTGGATTTTAATCACGTGACCATGGGGATCTGCCATGGTCATAACTGTGAAAAATGGTCCTAACTTGCTTTTTTTCAGTGCCGTTGTAACTTGAATCAGTCTCCAAATGAACCGTTGTAGCTTAAGGACTACCTGTAATCTTTATCTCTTTGCTTTCTTCACGCAAAATGAAGCAACCTTAACAAGCCATAGGCCTCTTTTTCCCGTCCTCGGTTAGTAAGGCACGCATCTGCAAAAAGAGGTATTTTAATCTCCGCCAAATCCGTAGCCTCGTAAACAAATGCAGGGTCCTATAAATCAAACTGCCCCTGTGCTTGTTGGGATAAAATAGTCCGGCTGGCAGTTGCCCTGATGAAAATAAAAGGCAACTGGTAACACGATTCGGAAGTGAAAATAGTTTTTGTTTCCATTCCCCGCAGGAGCGATCGAAAGGGCCCCGATCCAGCCTGCATCGCTCATAGGCAGCCACTTCAAGAAAACCTGGATGAATTCCATGTGTGGCTAAGAGGTCCGTACGCATCCTGCAGGGTGGATTTGATTTAAATCAAGTCGATGATTTAAATCAACGATTTCAATCCCTAGTTTAAAAAAGGGTGGGGGGGGGCTTGATTTAAAATCAACTCCATTTCAATCCTAATTTTTAAAGAGCCACCGTCATCTCTGTCCCCACAGCAACTCCCCTTCTGACCCACGGTTGACTGGCAGACAGTCCCAATATTGCCGAATCTGCAGCCTCATGCTACACAATTAAAGCTCCATTTCACGCCGAATAAACTAAATTATTAATGGATCTTAAATAGAAAGCTATCTTTAGAAAGATTTTTTTTTTTACTCCTTTTATTGTTAAAATAAATTTGATAAAAATAAAAAACAATCTGATTTAAAATAAAAAAACTCTGAATTTTTGGTTTTTTTAAAAAAAAAATCATTGATTTTTATCTACCCAGAGTCATCCTGAAATGTTTAGTTTGTAAATTTCCTCTCCCCGAGCTCCTTAGTTTTACCTTAGTTATCCAGGCTGAAGAAAGTCCAAGCAAGCTCCCACCCACCCGTTATTAAGATGGTGCCAATTACGTAAGGATTGGCACTCGGTGAGATCAGAAATTATATGTGGCAGATGTAGGTGATCTCTGGAAAAGAAAAGGAAAAAAACCCACAAGGAACTATTTTTAAAAAGGAGTGTCATCCTGTATGTGTGTGTGTGTGTGTGTGTGTGTTTGCATCTGTTTATCTCAGCGTTGTGATGTAACCCAACCATTGTTTGCTTTTCCCTTGCAGCTACTCTTAATGATTCCCAGAAGTTCTTCAGTCGTCCATCAAGTGGCCTGGAACTAAACCAAATTGCTTGTGGCTGGGAAGAAATTGGTGCAGAATTCCCCTAACAATGTTCAGGCTGTTTGGGGGGCTCCTAGCGGTATTGATGGAGAAAAACTGGACTCTGTAGGTCGCTTGGAAAGTTTTCCACCGGGGAAATATTTTCCTTGGACCGTATCTCCCGTCAGCCATGGACTCCTCAGCGGTCATTCAGGAAGCCAGCCATGGTACCCTGGGCAGTTCTGAACGGCAACCAGACCTGGAGGTCAGATCGACAACGGAAGGAGAGGATCTGAACTGTAAGCAGCTTCTTTGGATATGGATTTAATTTTTTTTTTAATGAGCATTTTTTGTTACTGTTGTTGGATTATAATGGTGGAAGGTGAGGGAGAACTTGGACAGAGGAGGTAGTCATTCCAGATGCATTTGGAAGGTTCAAGGCGGTAATTGTTCCTGGATTTCCCTCCTAGGGACTAAGTCAGTGGTATGTCCCACAGGTGCTTTTTCAAGAGGCACCTGGACTTGCTTGGTTTTTCTTTGAAGGTGTTTTGCTCCTCATCCAAGGAGGCTTCATCAGCTCTCAGGGGTATCTTTCATCATCTTCGTTTAACGATTCCATAATCCCTTTCAGGGTGGAGTTTGGGCAACTGAATGGAGCTTGCAGAGTGTTTGAATGGCCGGGTGCCTTTCCTGTTACCAGTGCTGAGTTTAGTTCAGCAGATATATTCTCGGTGTGTCCAGAGAGAGAGAGAGAGATATCTGCCTCTACCTAGGATCGAACTCACAGCCTCCTGATTGTGAGGCGAGAGTCACTGTTACCACTCCATGTCTTTCAATGGCTAATGCTGTGGAGATATCTACCATTGTCCATGTATTCGTCTATTGTAAAGTAGAAGAGGAAGAAGGTCTTAGAACTGTGTCTAAACTCCAGACGTGGTTCTAAGAAAAAACTTCCTTCCTCCCTCTCTCCCTCCTTCCCTTCCTCTCTTCCTTCCAAAGTGGACAGTGGTTAGAATGCAGTATTGCAGGCTAACTCTGCCCACACACACACCAGGAGTTCAGTCGTGACCGGCTCAAGGTTGACTGGACCTTCCATCCTTCCGAGATGAGTAAAATGAGGACCCAGATTGTTAGGAGCAGGAGGCTGTCTCTGTAAACCGCTTACAGAGGGGCTGTAAAACCCCCGCAAAGCGGTATATAAGTCTAAGGGCTATTGCTATAACTGTTTAATGTTTTTATTTGTTAAGCTTGCTTTCCTCTGCAGTGATGCTTAAAGCGATTTAGAATATATTGGGTGTTCCTGGGTGTTTGTTCTCTCCGTTGCTTCTTACCCCTGTCCCCCCCCCCCCCCCGCAGTGTTTCGTGTAAATAACGGCCGAGGGTCAACCGAAGGGGACACCTCCGCCCTCAAGAGCAGCCAAGATCCTTGCGCAAACGGACCGATGTCTTACGACCCCGAAGAGCCCCTGCCTCTGGGCCCCACCGAAAGCTCCCGGGTGAAAGAACCCGCTTCAGGTGTGCCTGGTTTCCGTGAGCACCTAAAGGCGTCTCGGGGTGATAGTGATGAGAGCTTAGCTCTTAGGAAGGACGCCCTGCAGTCTCTCAAACTAAGCCTCCCCTTGCAAGAAACCGAATTGTGTAAGCATCTCTTCACAGTGGAGCTCACCTGTTTCTTTGTCGCTCCGCCTCAAAGAGGGTTTTTTTTTCTTCCTCTCCTTCTCTTCCTCCTCATTTCCATTTCTCTGCCTCTGCAGAACCTCTTCTGAATGCTGCTGCTTTTGAAGCACGGGCTGATTCTTAACCCCTGAGCACATCTCACTTTGCCTTTAACAAATTGGCTTGATTCTTTGTTTTTAAAATGAACCTGGTGGGCTCGGAATCAAGGTTGCCATTTGCTATTTCTCTTAAAATCAAGGTGTTTTTCCCCCCCCCCTCTGATCAATGTGGTTACCAAATTCCATGCTAGGGGTGTCAAACTCAAGGCCCTGGGGCGGTGATGGGATTTAATTATTATTTTTTTACTACCGGTTCTTGGTGGGCGGTGGCAGAAGTTACACGCCGGTTGCCAAGCGCCTGAATTTCGATCGCGGGACCACGGGGCAGGGCTGTAACGGTCATAAAGTATGAAAAACGATCATAAGTCGCCTTTCCTCAGCTTTGTAACTTTGAACGGTCGCGAAACGGACTGTTGTAAGTCAAGACTCTCTATGTGGTCGTTTTCTTAACTGTCGAGACAAATGGTGCTTGGTTTGGGATTTGTCGCTGAGCGGCCGCTTGAAGTTCCAAGGGAGTTACTTGGGGGTTACTAAGAACCTGGATTTGACATTCAGACAGACAGACAGACACATACACACACACACACACACACACACACACACACTGGTCACATGACCAGATTTTGTAGGCTTGGCAACCGGGCTGCATTTACAGCCTTCTGCAGCGTCCCATGAGGCCACATTTTACTTCTAAGTTGACAATCCTATTTCGATTTTAAACACCCAAACGAGGATGAAAAATTGAGTCACGCTTCTCCGGTGACACCTTGTGTGCGTCATCCACCGTCATTTCCCCGTGACTCTCGGAGGCTTAAAAAATTCCAAAAGTGGAAAAAAATCTGTCTGCACTCTTCGTGCAGATTAGACAGGGGTGCAAAGCTTCCGTTGGGCTGGAAGGGCTTGCTAGACCCTGTTTTGAGTGGAGGGGCAACCATTATTCACAGATTGATCGGTTGAATCTATATAGATATAAAAGCAAAATATCACTTACACATCATCACAAAATCTCCAGAACCATAAAGCCTACAAACTTGACATTTGGCACCTATGTTCCTCTTGGCTCCTAGGGGCTCACTAAGAAAGGATTTTTCGAAATGACCATCAGAGCATTCGTATTTTGTATATTATCATTAACACGCTCTGATGCTCAGGAGTTCTTCTCCCCCACCCCACCTGAAAAGAAATCTCTTCCAAATACAAAACACAAGCAGAGGAGAGGAGTTTCAGTTTCTCTTTCACAGCACCAAGCAGCTTTAGTACAGAACAGTTGAGCTAAGCCACGCCCAGGCTCCTTGCAGGCTCCTTGCTCACACAGCAAATACTCTTTCAGTTTCCAAATAGCCCTCAACTCTCTCACACCCTGACAGGACGTTAGCCAGATGAATACCAATGGATGCTGGTAGGCAGAGGCAAAAATTTCCCTCCCTAATTTTCCTCCCCGAAAACTAAGCCTGACAACATAGTTTCATAGCGAAGCACAAATATCCTTCTAGTCGATGTATTAATTAATGGTCTCCCATCTCATGAATGAGACTTTGGGTGGCTAATCACGCCTTGACAGTTAAAAGTAATGTTAGCAAAGAATAAAACAATGGTTCCTTTGAGGCTTTTGGGACTACAACCGTCATCTGTCCCACTTGGTCAGCTAGCAAAAGAAGACTCCTTCCTGGCTTGAGATTTTTCCAAGATTATGTTTTACTGGAGCAATAAATGGCTAAGAGAAGTGGAATCTGGTGAATTGGCGTGAAAACTTTACAGCTAACTTTTTCCTTCTCCCCCCCCCCCCGCCACTCCCCCTCCCCCCTGCCATCAGTCAGTGTCCAATTAGCCATGCTTATTTTGTTTTGGGAAAGCAGACGCCTCCTTGCCCGACCCAATGTGGATTCTAAACACACAGACACACACAGAGAAACCTCCTTCCTCCCACATTCCAACTTCCCCTCCCATTGCAAAGATCGTTAGGCTGACAGGTCGCAAAGCAAGCAGGCTGACAGCGGTGGTGATAACATCCTAATTAAGTTAGTATCCCAAACATTTGGAAAGCATGTGGCTGTCGATCTCTGGGATCCTGAAGATCCCAGCTCTCTTCTCTGGCTCTCTTCTCATGAAATACTTTGCTCCAGCAAAAATCAAATCCCCTCTTGAGAAATTTTGAACCTCTTTTTTTTTGTTTTTTGTTTTAACCTGGTATCTAAATTTCTGGCGACTTTGCAAAGAGAGCTTCCTGTCTGTTCTGCCTCCTTGTTTATTGTTTATCGTCCCTGAGCAACTTAACTTGCTCCTTTTTCCTTGCAGGCTCAGCCGATGCTCCTCTCCCGCTGGAGAAGGAAGAAGTGATCCGGCTTCAGGCCCGGAAGCGCTTGGAGGAGCAGCTCAAGCAGTATCGTGTCAAGAGGCATCAGGAGAGAGTAAGTGCCTAGCAAAAAAGATTCCCAGGTGGGGTTTTTTTTTAATTCGCCTGCGTGGTCAGCCAGATGTTGAGGCTGGAACTGGCATTTTTGTCCACTGAATTTTGAGTCCTTCCCAAGGATCCCAGTTGAAGTTTAGGAATTCTTGCAGGATGTCAGCTGTTCTGAGTAAAGCTGCCTTGGGCAATTGACTGATAGGCGGTTGTGTCGATGCCAGTATTAGGATTCATGGTAGAGTCAGCCAGATGTTTAGGCTGGAACTGGCATTTTTGCCCCCCTATCGAGTCCTTCCTAAGGATAAGCAGATGTTTAATATTAAAAGTAACTTCACAGGATGTGAACTGGTTCCGAGTGAAGCTGCCTTTGGCAATTGACTGGTGGGGATTGTGTCAATGCCGCTTGGTGTTCAAGTGCTGTAGTTGACCAGTGGTGGTGATGTCAATGTCAGTGGTGCTCGAGATGTTTTGGGTTTGCACCCAAGGGACCTATTCCCTATTGGCAGTACCTTTGCTTTCTTTTGCCGCGGTGGTTCTGGTTCTGTTTTATCTTTATATTTTGTGATTTTTTTTCTTCAGTTTTCTGCTATCTTTAGGTATTGCCACATCCACTATCCAGATTTTTTTGCCTTTGTAATGGACAATTGTTAAGTCTTGGGGTGTTGTGTGGCAGATGCCTGTCTCTTTGAATTCTAAACTTCCCGGAGCACTTTAGCTTCTTCATTTTCTGTGACTTTATTACGTGGACCCACCAAGTCTTGCTTGCAGTCAGGTGGTATTTCTTTCATCATCATCATCATCAACAACATTTAAATTTAATCTTCAGTTCGATTCACAATCCGGGATTGATTAAAACTTAAGAGTTCAAATCCTAACCAAGGACCTAAGAGCTGTTGAGGTGATTTCTAAGTATATATTACTTAGGATTTAATATTCAATTTGATTCACAGTTTGGGACTGGTAAAAACTTAATATTATTATTATTATTATTACTCTCATCTTTTATTCGTTAAACACGAACCTCAGTCAACTGAACGTTTAAAAATGTATCACAAATATTATTAACCGGTGCTAATGGTTGATACGGGTTGCTGCCAGCATCTTAGGTGTCAACCAAGTATCTTCTTAAAATATATGATGTTCTGAGTAGCCCAGTTTTTTGCATTTCCGCTGGTGTTATTGCAGGAAGCTGCAATTTCTTGATGTATTTTATAAAATTCTTGGACATGGTACTAAGTGCCCCGATGACAATGGGTGTCACTGTTACATGTTCCATCCATAATCATATCATTTCGATGGCCAGGTCACGATATTTTGTGATTTTTTTTCCCCAGTTCTTTTTCTTTGACTCTGGCATCTCCTGGTACAACTATATTGTTGTTGTTATTGTTGTTGTTAAGCTTTAGTGAGATTCACAGTCTTTGGGGCTGGTTGGTAGCTCAACACCTCGAGTCCTAACCAAGGACTTAGGAACTATTCAGGTAACATCAGAGGATATAAGCTGTTCCAAGTAGGGTGGTTTTTTTTTGTAGAATCAGGGTATTCAAGTCTGATAAATTCAGGATTTCCAAATAGCGAGGCATCCTTTTAAGTATTTCTCCAAGGGCTCCAATTACAATTGGGATAAGACACGATTCTTTTTCCAAAGTTGCTTAACTTCAATTTGTATGTCCCGATACTTTGTGATTTTTTTCTTGCTGCGTGTCTTCAATTTGTGCATCCCCAGGTATTGCAATGTCTAGTACTACTACTGTTACTATTATTATTATTATTTACTTTATTCATTAAACATGAAACTTAGTCAACTGAACGTTTAAAAATGGATCACAAATATTATTAACTGGCATGATGGTTGATATGGGTGGCTGCCAGAATCCTCGGGATCAACCGAGTATTTTCATAAAATATACAATGATGATGATTTATTGTTGTTACTATTTCTTTTACTCCAGCTGTTTACAGCTAAAAGCCGCCCCTCCAGCACCCTGGATCCTGAGCTGATGTGGAATCCGGAGATCTTGCCAAGGGCCAGCACTGTGGCGATGACCAAAGAATACTCCTTTTTGCGAACCAGCGTCCCACGAGGACCGAAAGTGGGCAGCTTGGGCCTCCCAGCTTCCTTGAAAGAGAAAAAAAGTTCCAAATCTTCCCGAACCAGCCGGATTCGGTCGCTGGCAGATTATCGAACGGAAAACCCAGACGGAAGTGCCGGCGGGACCATGCCGATGTCCAATTGCTCAGGCGGATCTCTGAAGCCGAACTCCAACAGCCTGACCTCGGTGGTGTCCTCCATCAGTCTGAGCCCCGATTCCGACGACCGGCTGGAAGCTTCGTCCTTGGCGGGAGACAGCCTGTCAGAGATGGATGGCAGCGAAGCCGGGATGAGGCTGGACGGCAACGAAAGCGACAGCTCGACCTACAGTAGCGTATCGGGAAGAGGCCTCGCTTCCTTCAGCCCCCAAAGCAAGCCGGGTATGGCCTTCACCATCAATGGGCAGGAGGTCCCGTTGGATGCTGTTGGGCAGTTTCCTTCCATCAAGGAGGTATTGCAGGCTGCGGCAACAGAGCAACGGGCTCAAGACCAGGAAGTCAACGGGGAAGCCAGAAGCCGGCGGGACAGTATTTCGAGCAGGTAGCGCTGTTATGGCATCTTCTCCAACTCTGAAGGCTCCAGCTTGGACTCCTCTCGTCCCAAAGGGGCCTTTTCCAAAGGCAACTGGGCTTTGTTTGTTTGTCCTGGAAACAAAGAAAGCTCCGTCCTCCTTTCAGTTCTGAACTGAAGAAGCTTCTTGGATGAGAAGATGTTTTTCCTGGAAGATGTTCCATTTCTCATCCAAGAAGATTCTCCACTTCAGTTCTTCTCATCCAAGAAGATTCTTCTTCTCATCCAAGAAGCTTCTTCAGTTCAGTTCTTCTCATCCAAGAAGCTTCTCCAGTTCAGTTCTTCT